AATTTTTAGCACTATGTGTAATAGACAATAAATTTAAAAATTAAAACCATATATAGCACTTCAATGACTTTAAATTATCACTGATTACAGCAACATTGAGTATCATTATACTCAAATATCCATTTTCAACTTTCAGCAAGGGAGTTAATTGTAATCGTTTCTGTGTATGTTCATCATGTGCAATCTAGAAACAGATGTTCTTTTCTCAAAAAAACTCTCAGTTAATGGAAACAAAGTCACAGTCAATTATTCATGTGTAAAGCATAATTTTACCAACATTATAAAAAAATCATGAAAAACGCATGCTCAGAATTAAAAACATAACAAAATTGCGTGTATGTACACCCTAAGTGAATTTTTTTTAAATGACATCTCTAGAGCCGTTCTTTCAACTGAAATCATCAGAGCTCAGAAGATAGGAATAGCAAATTCAGTGGTTGAAAATGCTCAATTTTAGTGTCCGAATTGGGTCTCCCTCTAAAATAGGGAGAGTTGGCAATTATTTTTTTATAAGAAAACCAAATTCGGCACATTTCTTTCAATTTTGATATAGGGAAACATGATACTTTGTTTCCCTCAGATAAATAACAGCAAAGCTTGAGGGAAACATAATTGATCAGGAATACATATACTATTTTACAGAGATAGCACAATAACAATATAAAACATTGATTTTTCTGTTTTAATCAATCAAAACTCAGGGATAATAATTTTTACAGATTTTTTAACTTGAGAGGCCCCAAATGTAGGAAATATGACACGGGGAAACTAGGATGAGAGGGAAACAAAATATTTTATTTTAAAGTCATGTGTTCAACATGATCCAATCAAATCTGCTGTTACATAGATGATACATGATCATATAGCTAGTGGACCATGCTTGTTTTATATACAGAGTCTCATTCTATAACACACTGAACTGCATTTGAATCTTTTCTTCAAATTTGACCAAAGTTTCCTTTTACACATAACATTATGAAACATACGTAAAAACGCTTTCTTTCACAGTTTAACTTTCCAAACTTATTCATAAAAACAAAGTTTTGGAGTCACCTAGTAGATACGAGCATTATTCTGGTGATATTGTACACAGCAGTACACTTTTACTGTAACATCAAGGACATAACTTGATTCTACAATATTTTCTTCAATTCATTATCAGTAATAAATATCAAAACTACATCTCCATTAGGAATACTACAAAAAAAGCAACAAATCCAAAGTATAAAATTAATACTTCTTTCAGATTTTATTAAGATATGCAACTACTCAAACAAACCAATTGAGTGTTATACCATTAATTCAGTACAAAATCTAACAAACCAATCTGTGTCTTCTCATCCAATGCAATGAAGTACAATGTAACCTGAAATATGTCTTAGTTGAACATTTTGCTGACTACACATCTAGGCAAACTTCAGAAAGCTCTACTTCATAAATCTCAAGGTATTGTCCAAAATATCAACCAATCAGAATAAGTACCTGTAACCTGTTATTAAGCATATACAGTTTCTACTCGTCTTTTAACACCTGTACATAGGTCATGACTTTAATCAGGACTATTTTTATAGCATTAGGAAAGATGTTTTCAGGTGTTATTCACTTCACTAACCTCTCGAGATCATGTCAAACACAATAACCTTGTCAGATAATTTCAAACCCCAACCTCTTTAGATTATGTCAACTACACTAACCTCAAGAGCTTATGTCAACTACACTTACCTCCAAAGATTATGTCAACCACACAATCCTCAAGAGATTTTGTCAGCTAAACTAACCTCAAGAGATTATGTCAACTACACTAACCTCAAGAGATTATGACAAATACACTAGCCTCAAGAGATTATGTCAACCACACTTACCTCAAGAGATTATGTCAACCTCACAATCCTCAAGAGATTATGTCAACTAAACCACCCTCAAGAGATTATGTCAACCACCCAATCCTCAAGAGATTTTGTCAGCTAAACTAACATCAAGAGATTATGTCAACTACACCATCCGCAAGAGATTATGTCAACTACACCATCCGCAAGAGATTATGTCAACTAAACCAACCGCAAGAGATTATGTCAACCACACAATCCTCAAGAGATTATGTCAACTAGACCAACCTCAAGAGATTATGTCAACTACACTTACCTCAAGAGATTATGTCAACTACACTTACCTCAAGAGATTATGATAACTATACTAACCTCAAGAGATTATGTCAACTACACTAACCTCAAGAGATTATGACAACTACACTAGCCTCAAGAGATTATGTCAACTACACTAACCTCAAGAGATTATGTCAACTAAACTAACCCTAAGAGATTATGTCAACTACACTTACCTCAAGAGATTATGTCAACTACACTTACCTCAAGAGATTATGATAACTACACTAACCTTAAGAGATTATGTCAACTACACTAACCTCAAGAGATTATGACAACTACACTAGCCTCAAGAGATTATGTCAACTACACTAGCCTCAAGAGATTATGCTAACTACACTAACTTCAAGAGATTATGTCAACTTCACTAACCTCAAGAGATTATGTCAACTACACTAAACTCAAGAGATTATGTCAACTACACTAACCTCAAGAGATTATGACAACTACACTAGCCTCAAGAGATTATGTCAACTACACTAACCTCAAGAGATTATGACAACTACACTAGCCTCAAGAGATTATGTTACATAAATGACAGGACAGCATAAATGCCCTCAATCATGACCTCAATACAACCTTGATATGAACTTCACAATTAAGGCTCAGTTCAGAAAAGTATATATCCCAAGTTATAAATAATGTATACATTATATGCTATCTAGAAGTGTTTTTTAGTATCCCTGTGCCTCTTATTTTTTCAAGGAGATCAGCTAAAACATGCTTAATGGGTTTGTATTAAGAACAATCTTTTTAGGTCAATAATATTGAACAAAAAATAGATTCTCATGTTTGACTTTTGACTGTTGACCTTTGACCTTGATATGACCTTGGCAGTAGCGTCAAACAAAAATGTATAACTTTTGAAAGTATGGCCAATGCATACTCAACATATAACTACCATCCATTAATGGTAAGAATGACTATAACATAACTTACACCCATTTCTCCACCCCTACCCCCAGAATCTGCAATTCCATTCTATATAACAGTATACATAACAAAGTAGCCACCTTCCCCTGGAGATAAATATTCACTACATGGGCAGAGTTAACTGGTGATGAACTCCCCACAACCCCAGACACTGTTGCTTATCAACTGATCTGGTATGATAACTTCATTAAAATTGATATTAAGATTTTTATTTATAAACATTGGTGTGAAAAAGACATTTTTTATTGGGGATCTTGTTGAAAACATTAGTTTTTTAACACATGAATACTTTTGTGAGAAATTAATGCTGAAATCAATTATACCAAAGAAAAGTCAAGATGCATGGCAGGCAATTTTACATGTAAACATTCCCAAAGAATCCTGGTGCAAGTTTTATTCAATTCCGAGATAAATTACAGATGACACTAAACTTCAGAATTTTCAATTCAAACTCTTTCATAGAATTCTATATACTAATACCAAATTAATGCCATGTAAATTGAGTGAAACAGAAAGATGCACATTCTGTGGTGAGGGAAGAGAAACATTAATGCATTTACTATGGGAATGTTGTCATGTACAATCTCTTTGGTCATCCTTTATGTATCTCTTGAGGTCACAATATGAAATAGACTTATCAAGAGACCCAGTAATCATGTATTGGTATTTTTGAAACTAAAAATTAGTATGAAATAAATTTCTTGATTTTAATATTAAAATTTTACATACATTTGTGCAAATTAAGGAGGAAAACCCCTATGTTTTTTTAAAAGTAGAAGAGTGTGGACTTGGAATTTCATTGACAGAATGCTAAATATGGATACATGATTGGAGGTGTAAGCATTTATTTTTTTAAATTGGATACAATCTTCGGAGTTAAATCACTCATGAAATATGTCAAAATTAATGTAGCAATGTAGCAGTATGAATTTTTATATTTGTATTTGTTAATTTTCATAGGTGCAAGTTCTGTTCAAAGTTATAGATAGCATACGTACAGTGGCCTTTTATTATTCTTACTGATATTACATATTTTTGTATGTTTTGAATGTGACAACAAAAATTTGAATAAAAAAAATAATAAAAAAAACAGTAGTTCTTCATGAAAACCCTTATTTTGTATCATTTTGTTTCGGTTTTTGGTAATGAATGTCGTATTTTTTCGGTTCTACTACCTCGATCTGTGCCTCTCATACACCTGTTAGTTTGTCATGTGTAACGAATGACGTATTTCCTCCTTTACACTACCTGTAAGTAACACGGCCTGTTATTGTTGGCGAGCTGTGCCTGTTAGTTCAGCATGTGTAACGAATGACGTATTTGTGTCTATCATTATGCAATTAGTTTGTCATGGGTAACGAACGACGTGGCAATCACATGATCTATATTGCATTCTTTATATACAATTAGCTGCTGCCAGTTTTAACAAGTAACACTAAACCATACAAACAAACTACACCTATCAATGTTTGTCGTTTACATGCAATTAAGGTAAATGTGCTATCTTAGTGAGTGACCAAAATGTTCTATACTTAAATGCACCGAAGGCTAAGGTCCTATAGTTGTTACAATGTGTTGTGTTTTAATGCAAAAAATAACCCTACACCATTCCAGCAGACTACATAGCTTTGTGTCAACCATGAATTACAGTTAAATATATCTTTGAACACCATTATATCAACTAACATGCCTACTTATAAGAGAATTGTTAAAACAGATTGAAAATTCAGTTTATTTATAAGCATTGTTCTTGCTACATTTCATGAGTTAAGAACCGGTAATGGCCGCCTCACATTGCAACGGTTAGGTACTACCCAACATGTCTATATACCAGATTAATTAGTCATACGGTTTCTTTTTTTTACATCTAACAATTGTCAAACAACACGATTACAACATACTTACCTTCAGAAATCCTTCACACCGCCGTGAAATGAGGTTCTCAAAAATAATGTCCGATATTTTTGGCCTTGGAATGTGTCAGAGTATCGATGTCGAGTATCGTCACTACCTTCCGATTCACGAAGCTATACCTGTCAGTATATCATTGGTTATTGATGACGTATCTGGCTATTCATATGATAAGCCATTTATTCTGTATTGTAGCAGGCCTGGCTTTGGTCTTCTGTGGTCATCAATTAGAGTTCACAAACACAATAAAAACAGTTCACTTGTTTTTATTACACATCGATTTCATCAATCATATATTTGTACAGGAGTGCTGCAACTCTCTCTTCCTAGCATCATGCTCTCATACTGTCATAGGTCAGTGTGGTGGGAGACAATAATGTACTTAATAACTTCAGATTATAGAATTTCTTTAACAAGAAAATAGGCTTAACATTTGATACAATATCTGTAGCAGTTACTTTACACTAGCATTATGGTAACGGTAGTACAGTATTAGCCTAGTACTACAGTATAGTACTATTAATCTATTTTTGACAGTATTGTCAGTAATCAACTATCTACATACCTAACAGTAGTAATTATCTCCGTAGAAGTTATTTCCCTTGGATAAAGCTATAGTAGTTCAAGTTTAAGAATTAATACTCTCGTGGCCAAAGCTACAAGATTGTCTGACATGAACGTCTTTCGCGCTCCCTTTTATACCTTTATCACATGATCATCTGATCCATCTCAACCAATGAAATTGCTTCTCACATCAACTCTCATAAAAAGTTCCTCATCCTCTCGCATTATAAATCTAGTATTTACAAAGTTACAATTTCCTAACATGTGTCCTCTTTCTGTCCTTATTCTTATTATTATAATTAAAAGTGATTAAATCAGTAAGGACAAGATAAAACACAAAACTCATAAAAAGCACAAACACTTTCGGTCTCAGTTTGTCTCACAAGAATAGCAGACGACATGCGTAATGTTACACAAAAATGGCGCGATAAGGCTAGAAAGATAGTTCTAATGATTATTACTATCATAATAAATCTATAACATTTCTTGTATAACTAAACTTGTAGATAATATTTAAATATCAGCAACATTCCTATGAATTTATCATCTAGCTTATAAGTAGACACAGAAGCTCTTTTTCAAGGCCTAGCTTTACATTACGTTCCAATCGGCAACTCACTTCCGGTTTACAAGCAGCTTCACACTCGCTAAATATAAGCAACAATTCAACAAGTTCTCGATGGCGGTTCGATATAAAAGGTATGTTAAAACGATGATAGAATGTCCCGTGTCTCGATGTCCTTACTTCCTTCTAGTAATGTCCTAATATATATATAGCAGCAGTACTCTCTTGCATTACGTAGTTGATCCAGTTCTTCACATAAACTAGTTGATCGACAGTTCTTCACTTAAGAAGTAGGAGTTTTAAATAACTAGTGACATGCTTGTATGTTCACTACAATATTTAGACTGACGTATTGGTTAGATCAACAATTAAAATATTTGTCAGATGATATACTATTGTCATAAATTAGGTATATTATCCGTGAAATGTTAAATATCTTCGTCTGAAGACGTGCCATGACGATGTATATATTACCAGTAAGAGAGTTAGTAAAAACAATAGAAACACAAAAAACGGCGCATTGCGTTTTCATGCTTGTATTTTTACATTTCATATTTTCCATCTAACGACGTATTTTTGTATTTAAGTCTTCTTTACTCATTGCTGGCTACTACATGGACATCAATTGTATGATATGCATAGGTAAATACAGATCGGGCTGATGATTCTACTTTCAATTTTGTCTTCCAGGTAGCTGTGTGTAGTTCCTGCTACAGTTGTAGTTTCAGTTAGACGATTGACAAAATACACAGCTTCTCGAGTGAGTCAGACTGTTGTGGAAATATGATGACGATTATGTGCAAATGTTATGGTACGATCCATGATCCCATTAGAAATATTTTCTTTTCTTTTGTAATATGAATAGAAGGTCTATGTTTTTGTTATGCTTGTTAGTATACCTTGTTTAAGTTGTCACTTCCCAGGGTAAACGTGACTTTACTTGATTTGAATGAGATTTACATGGCGAGTATCGACGAGGAAGCAGAAGGCGTTTACCTTTATGAATTACATGCTCTTATTGACTTTGTACCTTTGGAAGGTTTCACGTCTATTTTCCCTTTCCATATATTTTGCCCTAGTTTTATCGATTTTTATGTTTCAATTACGGTTTTGTTATTTTGTTTTTCTCTTTTTTTAATCTTTCTTTTAATCTACTTTTCTTACCTCCGCATTACTGAGTAGTTTTGTTTGAATATCTAATTCTGATACTGTTTTCCTTTTATTTTCCTCGATTATAGTATGTATGAGAAAAAACTAACTGGAAGATATATTCCATTTTAGAGAACACTCAACATTCGGAAACCATCTTAAATCGTTTCCAACTTTCACTTTGGTATAGGGTTAAGTTTACAAAACACCTACCTCTAACAACAATAAGCAGACAGCTTTTGATTAAAAATAGTCACTTTTGTACTAATGTTTACAGACAGTTTTAAATATCCTACGGATTTCGAATAATTCATGAAACTTTTGAAAAAATCTATTATTGCTGTTTTACATATTAAATATGTTAAGCAGCTGTTAAATCGACGAAAGGAATTAATTAACAGCGCTTGCTCGTTTTAACCGAAAAAAACCCCATTCAAATTGTTCCAAATAGTCATTTCAGCTGATATACTTTATTTCAATTCGTAATGAAGCATTACATTTATCAAGCAATGTACTATATTTCTAATCATAGCTGTAGTTGAATTGTTTCGGAATTGTATAATTTTCTAGACTCCCTTGATCTAACCCTTGATGATAAGGTGTTCTTTAGAACGCATCCTATATATTGTAGTCAATATCAAATACATCAGTCCTCTCCATCGCTACGTAAATTTAATAATTGTATTTACGAATCAATACAGGACCCAACGGAACACGACATAAAATGTTTGAATACACAGAGAGATGAAATGCTTCCCACTAAAAGGTCAACTCAGGTAGACGCTCTCCCTGATCAAATCCTGTGATGACTATAAGTTTCCGTGCTCTGCATCCCGGACTGTGTTCAAGTCGGTGAATTGTACAAATAAATATTATGATTATATTTAGTTAGCTCATAATGCTTAAAAAGCTGCAAAAGATATATATCATTTGTCTATATTCATTTCAAACTAAATATATGTGTATGCATGTTTAGTGTTTCTGTCTTATGTATAGCATATGTACATTTTGCTGCACATGTGTTCTACATTCGGCCGTCCTACCGAAACCCCGTTGTATCGCCACCTCCTTTATAACACCAGAATTGGCACGGGACGAAAGGTGGCGGTACAACGGGGGACTACTGTAATTAACCAGATACTAGCCGCCACGGGGCTTATATGGTTTATAGTATATAGTACAATCAGACTGGTAGGATATAGCCGTAACGCCGTTCATTATAGTGATAACCAGTGACCTACCACTATGTATATGTTACGTCTGCCCGGATTCATAGATTCTGGAGAGAGAGAAAGACACAAGTCTTGATGGCGGCTCAAATGTATGTATCTATATTTATTCACATGTATATATCAAAATCAAACAAACACAGGTACACATAGCCCGAGTTCCCAGAACATAGTTCTGAATTAGGTTATTATCACTGACAACATTTTGCATGAACCAGATCTAACCCTGAAATACCTATAAAGGTATTTCAGTACCCTCAGTACTTTATGTATTACAATGAACCATACCATGTTTTGTGGAACAATGAACAATGCGCCAGTTATTAGTATTCCGGATTCGGCGATCCGGCTTTGGTTCTATTATTATGTAATGCGCTCTCTTTCCCCCTCAACATTAAAGTTGCATCGTGTTTACACTCGTGGTCTGTGTTATTTGCTGGCGTGGTGGCAGCGTGTGTTTCAAGAACTCTCGTCTGACACTGTAAAAGTGTAAGTAATCATATTGAAGACTACGTCGTAGTGACTTTTCTACTGTGAAGTGTATAAAACGATCATAATGCAGCGTGCACCGAAGCAGTGGTGCCTCAGTAAAACGGAAACCGTCAACTCGTTCGAGAACTGGCGGCAGAATTTGACATACACCCTCTCGTTAGACCCCAATTTTGCCCCGTTTCTGGTACAGGGGGTAGTGTGGGAGAAGGGGGTGAGAGGGAACCAATTCAGAGGGTTAACAAATGACGGCGAAAATGTAGCCCTTGCTAACAGAAAAACTCGTGAACAAAAAGTTGCCACCCTCGAATTAATGTTAGGGCAGATAGCGAATTACTGCCCAATAATATCGCGTCAATCAATCGTGAAAACCTCTACGTCGCTTGATCAAATTTGGCAACAGATCCGCCTACACTTCGGTTTCCAAACAACAGGGGCCCACTTCATAGACTTTGCGTCAATAAAACATGAGGCTAGTGAACGCCCTGAGGACTTGTTTCAACGAATAATGGCGTTTACAGAGGACAACCTGCTAAATCGGGACTCGGGGATCACTCATCATGGCGAAGCAATTGAAGCTGATGAGGAGCTTACACCTTCCCTTGAGAACTTTGTTGTCCTTTCATGGCTCAGACTTATACATATAGACTTGCCTAAGCTCGTAAAACAGCGATATGGTACTGAACTCCGCTCGCGAACACTATCATCAATAAAACCTGAAATTTCACAGGCCCTCGACTCCCTACTGGAAGAGTTACAAACCACAGAGGATGCGAGAGCCATGAGATCATCTGTTCAGTCATTTAAGCCGAAACGTCCCCAATACACCGCCAGGACGAAAAGGGCATGTCCCCTCTGTAAGGCAGCAGGGAGACCCGATGAACATTTCCTTAGTAAGTGCGTGTACCTCCCCCCAGAAGATAAACGTTTCATGGCCAAAGCTCGCACAGTATCAGGTTCGACCGACATCTGTATTGAAGAGGACTTTGATACTACACACACCCCGTCTGGTAGTAGTGACACTGAATGTGATCTCATCAACAGGGTAGTAATACGTCAGTCCCCGTACTTTGATGTGTTCTACAACCATCACTCAGTTCGGCTTACCGTTGATACTNTTTCGCCTTGTAACAGCTTTCGCTGATGTCGGGCGATATAGTAA